ATATATAAGGCGTTTTAAACCCTTCCCACACTCTTGCAATATTCTAAAGAATGTTTCTAAACTATTAAACTCTAAATGCTCTAAAAGAGCACAGAATGTGATGATTTCAGCTCTCTGCCTCCGCTGCACTCTTGGCCACGCTCACGTCTCCATTCTGCAGGAGATCAGCTGCAGGAGGACGCTTCTCCCGTCAGCTGCAAACAGATGCTAAATCATTTAAAACAATTTATTTTAAATTTAAAAAATCCATGCAGATCGTGTGGCTCATTCATCAATCAGCTGTCATGTCCAATCTTATTTTGAAAAACCGCGATGGAGCGAGTCCGTGCAAAACGAACCGCGAAGTAGCGAGCGACTGCTGTAAGTCAAATAAGACCAATGTTGGCTTGATGAGGGGTGAACTGTATTCAAAAGCAATTAAAGAAAGTTGTGATTGAAAATATGTGTTTGACGCCAAATCTTCATACAAGTTTGCTCCTTAAAAAGGGAACAGTCGGAAAAAAAATGCATTGAAAATGCCAAATAAAAAGAATAAATTGGAAAAATTAGATTATAAAAAAAACTTAGAAAAGCAGATTTTTGTTTTGTTTTAAAAAAGAAGACACTTCATTATTAGTCAAAAACAAACCAACACTAAAACACAAGACTCACTTCAGCAGTTTACCCAAACACAGCAGCAGTCTTTAAAATATATCATCTAGGGTCCAGCTTGGCCTCGACACTGAAGCATTCATAACAAGAAAGCCGATTAAAGAAAACCTCAAACTGCAATGCTTAGCTACATAATTCCTAACTGACCTAATTAAAACTGGAAATCAAGATTTTGTATTTGCTTCTATGGTAATTAGCCAATTAAATCTGAAATGCTAATTTAATGACCCATACATTCATGAAAAATAAACAAAACTTTCAGTACAAAACAGAATAAAATTGGACTTTTAAGCAGAGACTGAGGGATTGAACTGAGTTGCTAATCAATCAGTTTGATCAGCTCTGATAAGGTAACATCTACAAAAATAACCTGCAAACTCAATTATTTATCAAATCCAATGAACTGACAACTGCATACAATTTTAGACAGTAGTGTATAAGAAACATCTGTATTTAGGAGTTCTGATGCATCAACATGACAACGGTGCCCTCAGCGACCTCTAAACACGACACTATTCGATCAATGAGACACTGATGCATGACACTGCTGCTCAATGCTAGGACCTTTATTCTGTTATCAAAGTGTCCTGCATTAGCATGTTCAGACTTTTCTCTTATTCACACTGCGTCAACTTGCTGTTAATAAAATAGTTTGGTCTCACACCTCAGTCCTTCAAGTCTAATTAAAGTTCTTTATTGTCATTCACATCACATGTGGTACACGAGGCGGAACAAAATTGTGTACTCAAGGTTCCAGTTGCACCCAAGAATAGCAAAAATATAAAGTATAAAAAAAAAATAGTATACAAGGATCTAAGATATACACTAACCAATAGAAATGTAATAATATGGTGTATTAAACTTTAAGCCTGAACATGAGTCTGGTGTGAGCAGATGGGTAATACAGCAGCTTAAAGGCAAGAAATCAGCAGCATGGATAATCAGCAGCACAGATAAAGTGACATATCACCAATTAAAGTGGCATTACAATGATTTTTCTGGTTAGGGATTTATGAGTCTAATAGCTGCAGGGTAGAAGCTGTTCCTCAGTCTAGTGGTTCTACACTTAATGCTCCGCAACCTCCTTGTCGTGCTATTTGAAACTTGAGAACTAGCAGAAACCATGTTATTAGTTGACCAGAAACAGAAAGATGCAGCTTCAAAATCTGATTTTTAAAATTGAGCAGCAAAAATCAGCCCAATTAAAAAAAAAAAAAAATTGTTATAGAATTAATTAACACCATGCTAAAACCGTAGCATGTCTGTTGTGTTTCAGCCGTGGGTGTACAGCGATTAATTTCTCTGCAGAGGTTTTTGGAAATTACCCAGCACGAGTGTGAAATCGAGCATGCACACTTCCAACTGCTGTGAATAGTTTTTCTGTACTTGTAGAATTAAATGAACAACAAAAGTGGAGCTGAGTGCTGTTTGTGCTACTCACTCTTTTCAATGTGTAGGAACAACCCAACCTCATCCTCGGTCCACATGAACATTAGTCCATTCACCAGTTTTGATGCAGCTATTCATAACTGCTCAAGACGCATGCATGTGCGTGTGGTTGAAATGCAAAAATCATACCACAAGCTCGTGACCGGGCATGGAAACTACAGCGGATTCATTATTTTTTGCGGTCTCGTCCAAACGGATTGTGATCACAGCATTACTGTGAGAGTGTAATTGTTCCACAATCATCATCGAAACAAGTTCCAGAGATCATTCATGTGCAAGTAAACGAGGTCCGACTTATCGGTCAACCTCTAATCACAAAAGCTTTTTAAACCCTACGAACGTCACTTCTTTACAAAGGCTTTCAAAGAATCCTGTATCTGCTGATATTAAATGCTGTCCTTTTTGCCGCCTTGAATATTTTAAAACCAATTAACTTTCAGCCACAGTCCCAATGCCTAATCGCCGTCACTCAGACAAGATGTAGTCTACGAATAATTCATGGGTACACAAGGATGTTCAGTCTGATTTTGTAATGTGTGATGCATACTTGAAGTACCTTTCACTAGTTATATTCTTCCATAATTAATGATGCCTGTCCTCGCTCTATTGATGGGGTGAAGAAACAGAGTTTTGTATCTATTAAAGGGTAGGAGGAAAGAGAGAACGAGTGGATACAGCATACTGCTGAGAGATGATCTAAAGCTTAATAAACAATAAATTAAACACACCAAAATGATCTTATTCACTGATTTCACTTTTGGCTGCTCCATATTTACTAACATGAATATTCCTTCTGCTGTCCAATGAACATACTTTATACTATTATGGAATTATTATTATTATTATAGATTCTGCTTAATTTTGTCCCTAACACCATTCCTCCACAGTATAAAAAGGATATATTGTTTTGACTAGCACCCACTGTTTTACTATAGACAAAGGACACAGACAAGGACATGGACCTAACGCTTCAATGTGAGATAATGCGTCACAGGTAATTTTCTTGTCTTAATTAAAGCCAGTGTGTTGGATAAAGAGGAAATGAAGACCTAGGCTACAGCAGGTTTACCACAGCAGGGTTCTGTCTAAAAACTGTGTTTTGAACTGGGGGTGTATTTGCACTAAACTACCTTCAATTTTCTGCAGCTTTCTCAAAAAACTGCAGTGAAGGAAAACCAGTCTTTAATGCAGCGCCTCCTTGTGGTTTCGATTTGAATAACCCATCCAGGAAATGTTGAAAGCTCAATATCGCACTCTAGTGTACACTTCTGAATAAACTGTTCTCTGGCGTTTCAAATCGGTGCACAATTACATACAGGAGCTCTGATTTGCTTTACAGTGTAAACGATCACATTCCTCTCCAACCAGACCAACTGTTAGGTTTGATGGTGACACTACTGCTGCACCTCCTGCTGAGGATGAGTCACTTGTTTCCAGTCACGCATGATGTGTGAGTAATCTCAGAGAGCTGGAGGGCAGCTGAGTCGTCATCAGTGCAGTCAAGGAAGCCACTTGGCTTGATGAGGTGCACACTCTCAGGGAGTGACGAGTGGGGAGGGATTTTCCCTTGTTTTTTTTGTCTGGGCACAGCAGCACTTCTGTTATGAAAGGGTGGAGCTCATAGTTTGGTGTTGAACGTGTCTTTTGTGTTGCACTGCTGCCAAAGCTCCAAACCATATACATTTAAAAACAAAAATGATCCGAAAGCCTAAACTTATGACCTGTACTGGTAAACTCTGACAATATTAGGAATGGCATGATTCTTGTGCTTTGTGTGTGGGAAAGAGTGCGTCACAGCTTACCTTGGTCTATGTTGTGCTGTGGTAGCTGGCTCATCTGACTGTGGACCACACCAGCGTAATTTCGGAGAAAAGCCTCTTCACTTTGTGTAAGCTGGGAATAAGTAAACAAAAGTAACTTTTAAGTAAAGTTCTACAACAAGTACATACAGACAGCACTTTTAAGCCCAAAGACAAAACTGCTGTTATTATACAGACTGATATATTAACAAAAAGTACATTAATTTCTGTGAAAAAGAAGCATTTTGTGCTTTGTTTATCTGGTTTTGGTGCAAATCTTGTTTTGACTATTGCAATATTTCAGGTAAATTTATCCACTCTGACAAGATACATAGGAGTGTCTTCTCAAAATTGAACTTTCTGAAGTAAATATATTCTAATTTTGTCTCTTGAACATGACTGAGCATCTCATGTTACAAGTTTGTTACACTCTGGAACAATACAAAAAGCTAAAACTAACAAGCTTTGAGGACAACGTTGCTGATTTTGGAAAGACTGCATGTTTTCATAACTAAATAACCACTAAGTGCATGTGCTAGTAATGAGGGGGGAAAGGCAAGTTTTGCTATAATTCTAAATTTAAAACGTGAACATTAACTTGTGTTGATTTAGTCTGTACTTACATTTGATCCCATTTTTTTAAGCATGAGTAGAACCCGCACTTTCTGTTGGATGTACACGTCTTCAGGAGACTTCCCTGGCGCCTCCTCGCGGTTCATCCCCCCTGCTCCCGTGGCTCTGGACACACAAAGACATCAGCGTTACTCGAGCCCTGTGACAAATCCAATCCACAGAACCACTCGGTGCAACTAGACGTTCAAAATAATACACACTGGGTTGTTTTAGCCACACAAGGAGAGGACTGAATTATATCATACCTTACATGATAATACCCATATGATTTTCTGCACAATAAACAGGTCAAATCATAATATCATTGATATGAATACATAATGCATTGTGTTCCCTGGAGATCACAACAACACACTCACTGTAGGTCCATGTCAATGACAGGCTAATGTAAGTGCTGCAGCAGCGCACAGAGGCAACAATAGTGATGGACGCCCACCTTACATGGCTGATACAAAAACAAAATCTTTTTCAAAGTTAAGTTTAATGTGCCAGCACATCAATAAGGAGTAGACCCAGTGAGCGATAAGTCTTCAGAAGCTACTTAAATAAAATGAGCAGTTTGGTTACAAGACGACAGACCTCATACAAATCACAATATTTTAGAAAACATGCAAAGAACTGGCTACTGCTGAAAGTAGGCTCAAAACAAACTTGTCACACCATTTATAGAAAAACACATGAATACAATCAGGCAATAAAGGCTAATGTAAATGAACAAATTATTAAAACATTTATAGTAATTATGCGGCAAACTTATGGTGTTGAGGTCCACACTGGGTTAAACTCGGGAATCTCTGTCCGACGTGTTTCCAAACTGACGTCACTCCAGGTCACTTCTTCGTGTCATGATCGTTTATTTTGCATGCTTTAAACATTACACAGACTGAGACACAATACTGACCAGGTCCAAACTATTGATAAATGCTTAATGGCATAACTCTACTCTACTCTACGGCATCTTATAACACGGTCAACAGAAAATATGATGACCCCGGGCGCACACAACTTCCTCATCCATACAAAGCCAGAACACCAGTCAGCACGTCATTTATATCTGGTGACAATCAGCATGTCACACACTGACACACCCACCACCCAAGTGTCAAAGCTGCGTGCTCACCTGTCAAGTCATCAATTACTTATTTCACCAATATGGCTCTTACAGATAGGTAAGCTGTAAATATTAGGAAGCCGAGAAGTTTATATAAACTACTGATGTTGGTCAAGGTTTAAACCAGTATAAATATAATCATTGCTCATTTTCTATATCATCCATTCTCAATAATTGTGACCGAAAATGTGGGGTGATCATTCACCTATGAAGCTCTTAAAAGGTGGTCAAGCATTTTATTCCCTTTACACAGATGACAACACAAAACTCATACATACATCCCAGACTCCCTTTGGACGTCTGACCTCGTTGGACCGATTCTGTCTCAGACCAGGTTTAGCTCCTCATCACATCATTAATATTGGTTGGTAGTGTTCACACAGATCGCAGCCCTGCCTGTGACCTATTTTCATTGTCGCTTTGCAGAGACGCAGAATATAGGCAAAGGGGGTGAAAGAGAGGGAGGGCAAAGCAGGCGATAAAAGGAGCTGCCAAAGCAAATGTGGGTGACAGAAAAGGGATGGGTTTTGCTGTGATACCGCACTCACACATCAAGGTCGGCTGTTGTCGCATTAGATCTCTCTTACAGTGCGCCAACAAGAGAAGGATATAAGCTCTGCTGGATATCCAGCTTAAGTTTACTAATTGAAAAAGCAAAATATGCTAAATAAATAATTTGCAGAGAAGGGCATGATAAATCTAATAAGTCAAACATAAGATTAAAGGGAGAGAAAATTAGTATGCATGTTAGAAAGGCTTTGCCAGTCACAAACTATGATAAATCTGGCAATTTATTTTTGGTCTCGTATCTGTACAAAGGCCCACTAATGCTTACTGACAAACTGTTTCATGTTGGGTTAAATTTAATTGAGCAGCTCGCCCTTTTTCCAAAACCCAGAAGATAAAGAGAATGGTGTTCTTCTGTTGGCTATTTGCTGGTGTTTGGTTGCCATTGTTCCTAAAATCCTTTGGTGCTTTTTTTCAGCAAGCATTTATCTTATTTCCATGTTCTTGACATACTACATGGTAGTGGGACGAGTGAGGTGCACATGACTACATTCATTTCAACCTCAGCATGGTTTAATTGGAGAGCTGCTCTGAAGACTCAAAGCAAGACAGACATAAAAAGACTGAGAGCTTGCTGGTGTTAGTTCTGCTGCTTGGTAAAACCTTCAGGGGATTGGCGATGGAGGTGGCTGAATTGCATTTGGGTGGGGGGTGGTGATGAAGAGAGGATGTTGGTGGATGGTGTAAGAAAGGGTGGTGGTTGGCAGGGTCTTTAGATCAGCCTCAGTGACACTTTTGATCATGTCTCCAAGCTCCTCACTTCAGACAAATGGGAGAGCATTTAATACTTCATGCAGAGAGACCTTCCAGAGGTTGACGTGAGCTGTGCAGACTGACTGATTCGAAGCAAGCTGCCTTCCTCAGAAGCACTGTGAATCAAATGGTCAGTGCAAATGTCTGGATAAATATCAGAGGATGAGGAAAATAACCAGAGTGTGATTATTCGAATTGGACAAATTGTCTTGTTTTAAGATCTTTGAAGACTACAAATGTACATCAAAATCCAGTAAAACAGACATATTTTTCATGTCTTGACAATGAACATAAGGACCACAATATTCTACAATAATCTGTATAGGACTTTTACTGTCAGAGACATTTCTTATCTACTGTTTGTGACTTGAAAACTGTCCATATTTAGCATCACATCTGCCCAGGATTTTGCCAGTTTGTATGCTGTGAATTGTTTAGATTTATTTTTAACAGGCTGAAAATGGTTTTGCTTTCTTATAGCAAATGTCTGCTATAAAAAAAGAAAAACAACATTCCAAAGGGAGAATTTCTAAACAAAAAGAAAATGTGTGATTGTAGAAATACGATCAGGGATGTTTATTGTTGTGACATGCCCGAGTTTCTCAAAAATGATCCCCTGATGCTAAAGAACAATCTGTCCTGAGCTCTCCTTGTTCCTGAACAATGTCCCTCATTAAAACCAAAAAAGTCCATGCTCAACAATCCAGGTATACAATCTAACAATTTTCAGTCAGGTCATCTGGACAATTTCTTTTTATTGCTGAAATGTTTCACATTCCATCTGGAAGGCTTCATCAGTTAAAGAAACACAACACAAAACTGATTCTTCCCCCAAACAGCTTACTCCAAAGTGGAAGAAACCACTTACTACACCATCTTAGCACCTGTTGGTGCTAAGATGGTGTCTTTGGCACGCCCCCTCCTCTGGAGCTGGCCCTCTTCCTCATCGACAGTCATGTCAAACTCGTTCAAAACCAAAAAAAGTCACCTATGAAGCTCTTAAAAGGTGGTCAAGTATTTTATTCACTTTACACATAGCAACACAACCATATATCATCTAAAACTCGTACATACATCCCAGACTCCCTTTGGATGTCTGACCTCATTGGACTGACTCCTTCTCTCATGTCCCTCATTATAAGATGCTGATTAGAAATATTCCACATGTGAGCACTAACAATTTAATGTGCATATGTGGAACATAGTGTAGATTAAACCTAAGTTTGTGAAGTCAGAACAATCATGTCTATTTTTGTGACTTGCAAGAAACATTTGTACATGGATGATCTTAACTTTTATCATTGGTTTGACTGTCTCATAATGACTTGTATGGCACCTTTGCTCTGCAGTTTCATGACTGCAGATCAACTAGGAAAATCTTCCATTTAATAGAAAAACAAGCTAATGACTTTATCTGTAATTATGATCCAGACAACAAACCTACACATTTAGGGGCATGTTTGGAAATTCTACTTATCCTAGTTGCATAATTAAATCAGTACACTTGTTTTTTATATTATTATTATTTGCGGACATATAGGAATGGTAATGTTCTAACAAGTGAGGAGAGTGTGACGGGAAGATGGAAAGAGTACTTTGAGGAGCTAATGATGAAGAGAATGAAAGACAAAGAAGACTAGAGGTCATAGAAACTGTGGACAAGGAAGTGGGAAAGATTAGTGAGGGTGAAGTCCGGAAAGCTCTGAAAAGAATGAAGAATGGGAAGGCAGTAGGACCTGATGACATACCAGTGGAGGTCTGGAAATGTCTTGGAGAGATAGCAGTGAGGTTTTTGACTCAAATATTCAATGGCATATATGAGGGTGAGAGAATGCCTCAGGAATGGAGAAGAAGTGTGCTGGTGCCCATTTTTAAGAACAAGGGTTATGTACAGAGTTGTAGCAACTAGAGGGGAATTAAGTTGATGAGCCACATGATGAAGCTCTGGGAGAGAGTTGTGGAAGCAAGACTTAGACGAGAGGTGACTATCTTTGAGCAGCAGTTTGGTTTCATGCCAAGAAAAAGCACCACAGACACCATCTTTGCTTTGAGAATGCTGATGGAGAAGTACAGAGAGGGTCAGAAAGAACTCCATTGTGTCTTTGCGGATTTAGAAAAAGCATATGACAGAGCGCCAAAAGAGGAGGTGTGGTATTGCATGAGGAAATCTGGAGTGGCAGAAAAGTATGTTAGACTGGTACAGGACATGTATGAGGAATGCAGGACAGTGGTGAGATGTGGTGTAGGAGTGACGGATAGCTTCAAGGTGGAGGTGGGATTGCATCAAGGATCGGCTCTGAGCCCCTTCTTGTTGCTCTGGTGATGGACCAACTAACAAATGAGGTCAGGCAAGAATCCCCATGGGCGATGATGTTTGCAGATGATATTGTGATCTGTGGTGAGAACAGGGAACAGTTGGAAGAGAACTTGGAGAGGTGGAGGTATGCACTTGAAAGAAAAGGAATGAAAGTCAGCTGTAGTAAGACAGAGTACATGTGTGTGAATGAGAGGGAGGCCGGTAGAACAGTGAGGCTACAAGGAGCAGAGGTCAAAAAGGTGCAGGACTTCAAGTACTTGGGGTCCACTGTCCAGGAAAATGGGGAATGTAGTAAAGAGGTGAAAAAGAGAATCCAGGCAGGATGGAGTGGATGGAGAAAAGTTTCAGGAGTGATTT